TGAAGGAAATCAGCAATAGTCAGCAATATGTTTACATTTCAAATTTGTTTTTGAATTCGTTTCAAATTCGATAATTCATTATTTTAGACTATATTTTGATTTGTTATTTTGGATTCATTTAAACTTACTATTGTAATTCGGAAATTCAGATACATCTGAATAATGAACATTTTGTTTGAATTTCAACTGAACGACTGCACATGCCTACTTACAGTACATGTTAACTTAGCAATACAAAGTTAAAATTCTGTCATTTCCACAAGTTCATTAGTGGTATATTGTTACAAATTATTTATTTATTACAGGTACTTATATAACACAGCCAATTTATGCAGCGCTTTACTCATATATTGCGCTGCTCTCAAACAGCTTACAATCTAAGGTCCCTAACTCACATTCATACATTCAAATACAAGCGCCAATTTACACAGGAGCCAATTAACCTACCAGCTTGTCTTTGGTGTGTGGGAAGGAAACTGAAGTACCCAGAGGAAATCCACACAGGCACAGGGAGAACATGCAAACTCCAGGCAAGTAGAGCCATGTTTGGGATTTGAAACAACAACCCTAGTGCTGCTAGGCGGAAGTGCTAACCACATAGCCACTGTGATGCCTGACAATTGACTGACAGTTGATTTTATATTTCTCCAGATTAAAAATATTAACACTAGCAGCTGCTACATAAAGATAATAAAAATGACTTTTATTTTCCTGTTATTCTAGAAACAGATAAAATGAACTACTACTTTAAATTCTGGCAGCCTTGTCCACATGCCCATGTAATGTACGCATGAAATCACATACGGCTGACATGTCTAAATGACTAGATCATGTCTGCGTGCTCTTTCTATAGAAAAAGCCTTGTATGCGCGTTGACAGTTTTTCCTCTATTCAAATGGGATCTCTCAGACCTACCAATCATGTCCTTGCCCAAACCCATGGTTAAGGTCTGGATTTTTGTTTTGTGACAGAAAGTAGAAATCAGAGCAATGTCGCAAAATATTACCTGGTTCCCAGCCCCAGATGTAGTCTGATCGGGAGGATGAGTTATGCTTGGATGATGTGACTGAGGAGGAAGAGGAAGATGGGATTGTTGTGACGCGGGCGGAAAACTCGGAGAGAGATGAAAAGAAGGGACATCACTCTGAATGATCTGCTGAAAAGAGGCCTGGTACGCCTGTGACTGAGAATGCTGTGGCAGCGGCTGCGGGGTTGGTAATCCTGGCATGCCAGATGTTGCCACTGCTAATAAAGGTACAGGAGCAACCTGAGTATTTGGCACAAGATTGGTCTCATATGGTAGCACCAACTGTGGGTTGACTGTCTGCCCTGATGGGGGCCCTGCAGGGGTGACAGGAAGGTTGGGCATAACCACACCTGGAGGGAAATACTGACAGGGAGCAGGCAGGGGGGTGATACAGACAGCAGGTAAGTCAGAGAGATTGGCAGGGAGGCTCTCGAATCCTGTAAGAGAGTAACTGCTGGTATGAGAGGATACGGAGGAAGCTGAAAAACAATGCACAAAAAAAAACAAAAAAAAAAACATTATTGCTGTTAATTAAACACTGTACAGTCTCAATAAACATAGTACTTCATTAACATCCACGTCTGGGGCTTCTTTAATCCAATCCAATGTTTAATGCAACAGCACTAAACATTTTGGTACCAAATTTTAACTAGAAAAAAAAAAACAATCACATTTTGGTGGATGCTGATGGGCTGAATCAACCACGGGTTTCTTATATCTTTTGGAGACCCCAGCAGCAAGAACTTGGCATCAAAAAGGTCCCACTACCAACTCACACCAATTTCCTTTAGCACTCTCCCTCCTCTTGTAATGTAAAATAAATTAAGAAATCAACAAAGAGAGCAAGACCCCCTTGTAATGCCAATGACAGGCTACTGGACATGGAAATGCACATACAGAAATCTTTAAAAGCAAGCCCTCGTTGACCTCTGTAGCTGCAGACACTGTGGATCAATCCACCCTCAAAGTTACAGCAGAATCCCTGAAGTTTTTTCAGCTCGTCGCTCACCCTGCTCTTCATTTCAGAACAACCAATCTTTTTATGTCAGAGAGCAGAAAGATGAAAGACTGCTGAGCCACTGCTGGGAGGGGGAGCAGGGTGATCTAAGCAGTGAGGCTACCGTGGACTTATAGGATGAATGCTCTACAGTATCTTCAGCTACAAAGTTCAGGAGGACTTGCTGTTAAGTTCATATACTGTTTGAGAACATGTTGTGTGAATGCCCCTAGCCTAGCCTCAAGTTTACATTAAAAATTTCCAAAAACATGGGTGTATATCCCAATTTGTTCACTGTTACCAAACTCTGTAGTTAAAGCAGTATTAAATCCAAATCTAAATATTTAATATATTGCACCTTACCAATTCTTAGATGTGATGGCTGTATTAGTTTCCTTTTTTAGGAGTTCTTTCATTTTCATTTGGTGATTCAGCCAGGAACTTACATGGATGAGACCATCCATTTACCACTGGCATGGGTGATTAAAATGATCAGCTTTTATTTATTCATGTAGAACCTTTATCCCAAAAAGAAAACAAATATGTTTGACTTAAGTGTGACCTGGAGTTTAGTTTAAATTGTTCTTTGTATTCAAATCTGCTAATACATTTAAACACTATCTTCCCCCCCCCCCCCCCCCCAGACTGACAATGCTGCTGTCTGCTGTGTCCTGACTCATTCCTCCAGAGTGGTGTCTCACTAATACAGGAGGTGTGTTACTGCCCAGATCACAGGTGAAAACAGAAGGAAAAAGCCAAAGAAAAGAAAACTGATGCAACCACTGCATTTAATGATTGCTAAGCTACAATATAATACATTATTGGTTTTGGGTTTAACACGGCTTTAAGTTTTGGAGGGAATGATTTATTATAATCAAAATACTATATACCACTCTGCATGTTCTGCCTGAAAGAAAAGAGATATTAGATTTTCACTTTTCATTATTTCTTATTACCTTACCCATAAATTAATTCAGTGAAGATTGAAACCAAGTCACTCTAATAAACTACTATTCACAAGAATTTACAAGGAAGATTAACAAGCCCAACTTAAAGGGAGTTCCCGGCTCCCCCCATAAAAATAAAAGTTAGCAGCTACAAATACTGTAGCTGCTGACTTTTAACATAAGGACACTTACCTGTCCAGGGGTCCAGCGCCATTATCACCCAGGCTAGTTCTTCACTAGACTCCAGGTTTCCAATATTGGTATTGCAAATAAGGGCAACCGGAAGTGAAGCCTTGTGGATTCACAGCCGATTTCCTACTGTGCATGCGCGAGTCGCACTGTGTCTTGGTCCTGTAGTCTTCTGGGACCTGTGAAGTGTTGAACTGAGCCAGAAGTGGGAGCAGTAGCCTGTCAAAACCAGGTACTTGCTCCCCCCTCCCCCCCAAAAAAGTGGCAAATGTGGCAGTGGAGAGGCGGGGGGGGGGGGGGGGGGGAAGGTGTGTGCAAACAAGCGGAGTGAGTGGAGCGCTTTTGAGTGGAGCTCCGCTTTAATGACAGCCATAAGATCTTTCATAACTAAACCAATGTATTGCATTAACAAAAATATATTTGTAGAGCCATTCAAAATGTCTGAATACATAGTAGCTAAAATATATAGTAGTAGTTTTAAAAGTAACCTCTGTAAACTTCTGCAAGTCAAATTTTAAACATTTCTTCCAACTAGTTACAGAGTTGAATGCAGACCTGAAAGTATAAAAAATAGAGATTAAATGGCTCTCCTTCACAAAATAACAAGGACCTTCTTGTTTCTGAATTTTTAAGTCAAACCACTTCATAACAACGGCCTCGCTGTTTATAATCCTGCCATTTATTAAGGCAAGCCATAAAGTGTCGATACATCAGCAAGTTATTCTGCTTGGCCCAACTTTATACGATCACAGGTAACCTTATCTATAACAAGTTATCTAAATAAATATAGGACTGTAAGAAATTGATTAACTTGCTAGTTACCATGGATATTTCAGAAAACAAAAAGTTTTCAGAATCATATTTTCCATACAACATATTCTATATCCCTGTAGTCAACTATTAGATGGCACAGTCAACAATTAACTATAGGAAGACTAATTACACTATATGGCCAAAGTTTTTGGACACACCTCCTAATTATTGAGTTGGGGTGCACAATTTCAGGTGCATAATGACATGGTTTGACGAGTTAGGTGTGAAATAACTCAAACAACCTGTGCCTAGCTGCTATCAAAATTTTGGGGTAAACTGGACTGTCAATTTCAAGCCAGGACTTCTCATCTAACAGTAGTATCTCACAAATTCTCTTTTGGCTGAATGGGTAAAAATTCCCACATAGGCAGGTCTTGTGGACAGTGTTCCTGTAGTGGAGGCGGTTATAGCTGCAAATTAAGGGGGCAACTACATATTAATGTCCATTATTTTGGAATGAGATATTCAGAAAGCTCATATTGGTATGATGGTCATGGGTTCCCAAGCCTTTGGTCAAATTATTATACAGGATTTATATAGCGCCAACAGTTTGCTCAGCGCTTTACAATATAACGGGAGACAATAGAGCAACAATACAGTTCACTACGAGGGATTTGAGGGCCCTACTCCTTGGAGCTTACAATCTAGGAGATGTCAACTGCCACTAAAGTTTATGTATAGCAAGCTATAGACAGTCTGATTCCCATAAATGAGGTGCAGATTTTATAGCATCCTGAAAAAGCTCTTTAGTGGATTCCCATTTCCTCACAGTAGACAGCAAGGAGAAATGTTAGTGCCATTTTAGTGGACAATGACAAGTAAATGTTTAAATATCCACAGTTAGTGATTACAAATGTGACCATAAAATCTGAAGCCTTGAAAAAGATTGGGTAGGCACTGATGGGAGCCAAGTACATGAAAATTTCAGAAGGATGGGTCATTGTTATTTATTTTGGAACACCACCTAAACTCTGAAAAGCTTGTCCAGCCAATTGCTTGATAAAGTTATAAAATTAAGTTGCTTTACCTGTGATGCAGGTACCTGGTGCTGTTGTAGTGGTACTGTAGGAATTTGTAGTGGTTTCAGAGGAGCCGGCGTGAGCGAGGGCTGGTACTGAGGGTATGTATGGGAGGTAGGTGGCACAGGACAAACAGCCTGCCCAGCTGGGATTTGCTGTAGAAGAGCTTGGTGTTGAAGTGGTTGCTGTCATTCAAGCAAAAACAAAACAAAACAAAAAAAAAAATTAAAACACTTGCAAAGACCTAAAACATTAAGGAAATGTTTGAAATAATGGTAATAAGCAAAATTCCTCAAAACAAGTTATGTACAAAATTGAACAGTTAATTTTTATACTCTGCAAATTTAATTGCTTGTCAAACACACATTGGAAAGATGTAACGGTTTCAAGCCTTGCAAATTTTAACGTCATACCTGGCTGGATAATACAGGAGGAGCAGCCCCGAACTGGGCAGACGGGACTGTGGTTGGCTGCACAACTGGGTATGCTGTGCTCAGGTCCTGGTAATGATGTTGAGCGAGTCCAGAGTGCACAGCAGCTATAACACTAACCCCATGCTGAAAAGCAAAACAAACAAATTCACATGTAAATCTCATGCAAAAAAACAAACAAACAAAAAACTTATTAGTTGTCCAGGCAGCACCCAAAATTAGTGAATAGCAATCTCCTGTGTAAAATAGTTTTCAAAAGGCTACCCATTCTTCCCATCATGATCTGTGATATATATTGTAGTACCACAAGGCAAAAAGAAAAGCAAAGCAAAGCAAAGCAAGTAAAAAAAAGCTGCTGTCTATAGACTACAGGAAAGCATTTTTTGAAAAAAATCATAAATCATATCCAGGCAGCAGCAAACAGATAAAAAAAAAAAAGCAATTGTATAGAGCAGAATAAATGTAAAAGCAACCGAACCTTTGCAGAATTTATATAGTCATATCTTGCTGATGTTTTTTTTCTAAACAAAAAAAAAAAAAAAAAAAAAAAAAAAAAAAGGGTTTTCTTTACAGCTTTGATTACATTACTTACCTGTAATGAAGTATGTCCAACGATGTGCAGGCTGGTAGATTCTGTAGAATCTTCACTGCAGAACGGTCTTGTCCTCTTCCTGCAGCTGCAGAAATTACATGTTCTACCTGTTTTTAGGGTGAAACATTGTAACATGTTCCCGCTCCTGAAGCTCTCAGCATTGATCCCCTGCTCCCTGTGATAGCGGGTTGGGGATCTTCTCCCCCACACCAACTTAAGAAAACTGCTGCCATGCAGGGCTCCGCCCCCCCCTGGCCCATCATTCATTTGCAGAGTTCTGTGAATGGAAGAACTACAATTTATGTTAGGCTTTGTAGCTGACAGCTTGTAGTTCTCAAAGAACTACCAGGGCACTGGTGAAAGTGCTAGGTAGTTCATTGATTCTTCCTGTCATTGTGTAACTGCCTGCCCATATGAGATACGAGCAGACAACTTACAGTGTCAGTCTGCAGGAGCCTTGCATTGCACCTGCGGTCTACTGATCTCCTAGTAAAAAAAAGAAAATAATAATCAATGCACTTTTTTACCTGCAAAAAGATGTGCTTTTTTTTTTTTTTTAAAAGGTTAACTTATCTTTTAAAGGATATGTTCGCCTTTTGAATATGTTTACATGTTATACCCATATTTGGGGTGTAACATTTTCTGCAGCACACCTCCCTCACCCCCTGGGCGCTCTCCCCCACAGCCCCGTCACATCTGAAATCAGCGCAGCTGTGCTGGGCTCACATCTGTGAATGAATAAACTACAAGTTTCCTCTGACACAGCAGCAGACGGACTTGTGGTTCTCAATGGACGCCCTTATTGCCCTGATTAGCGCACTCCATTCACATTCCCTCCAGCTTCTAACTGAAAGCTAGTATGGAATTACAGCAGGAAGCTGGAGGGAGAGTGTACAGGACCCTGTCATTGCACCTGCGATCCACTAACTGCAGTTACAATATTTTGCAGACTCTTGTGTTAAATAATAAATGCACATTTTTTTTTACCTGCAAAAATATGTAAATTTATTACTTTTAGTTAAAAGTGAACTTGGCCTTTACCAGCTTTGGCTCTCTACGCTCAGCTGCACCAAAGCTGATCTAATGGGGATATGCCTCCTCCTGCCTTTTCCTGCACTGGGAGGAAGTTCTTTCATGGATTACACTGCCTGTAACACTTCTGATCTCACCTATACTTCAACATGTTATCGACCTTGCCCTGTTCCTCAAGTAGGTCTACACTACGTCCACCAGTCGCTTACCACAGTATGTCCAGAGAGTGAAGAGTTATACACAAGCTCATGGCCATGGCAGCAGTAAGCTTGTGCTGGTTTTGATCAGCTCCCTGGGGCCACAGCAAAAGGTTTCAGGATGGTGATCTCTTCAGTAAATGAAGCCGAAAGCAAGAATTATTTTGTCACTTCTGGTTTCAGAGTCACTCCTGTCAGAGTTGTTTGTTTAGAGCTGTCATACAGATTATTTTGATTAGCTTGGTTAGTGGCTTTGGCGGGCAGATGAGACACTGGGGGTCTAATAGACCCCAATGTCTCATAAAAGATTACTTGTCGCCTGCCCAGTGCTATCACATGGGGATTTATTAAAAAAATTAAATGTAACCCCTGCTGCCCTCACACACCCACAAATGCATGCACAGGTATACGTACAGTTGTGACCAAAATTATTCAACCCCCACTGAAATTGAGTGTTTTGGCCAGTTTGACATTGCTTTTGATCATTCAGTCATCTTGCTTACATTTACATTAAAGAGGCACTTGTAGGTCAGACAAATATAACATAACAGTTATAATGAAATAACCACAAATGTCTTTTCTGTGCTCACAGCATTATCAGTTTTATTCAACCCCCAAGTGACATTCAATCTTAGTACTTAGTACAGCATCCTTTTACAGTTATAACAGCTTTTAAACGTGAAGCATAGCTTGACACAAGTGTCTTGCAGCGATCTACGGGTATCTTCGCCCATTCTTCATGGGCAAAGGCCTCCAGTTCAGTCACATTCTTAGGCTTGCGCACTGCAACTGCTTTCTTTAAGTCCCACCAGAGGTTCTCAATCGGATTTAAGTCTGGTGACTGCGATGGCCACTCCAAAATGTTCCAGCCTTTCCTCTGCAACCATGCTCTAGTGGACTTGGAGGTATGCTTGGGATCATTGTCCTGTTGAAAGGTCCAACGTCTCCCAAGCCTCAGGTGTGTGACGGACTGCATCACGTTTCCATCCAATATCTCCTGGTACTGAAGAGAATTCATGGTACCTTGCACACGCTGAAGCTTCCCTGTACCTGCAGAAGCAAAACAGCCCCAAAGCATGATTGACCCTCCACCATGCTTCACAGTAGGCAAGGTGTTCTTTTCATCATAGGCCTTGTTCTTCCTCCTCCAAACATAGCGTTGATCCATGGGCCCAAACAGTTCTAATTTTGTTTCATCAGTCCACAGAACACTATCCCACAACTTTTGTGGTTTGTCCACATGGCTTTTGGCATACTGCAGTCGACTCTTCTTATTCTTTGGAGACAGCAAGGGGGTACGCCTGGGAGTTCTGGCACGGAGGCCTTCATTACGCAGTGTGCGTCTTATTGTCTGGGCTGAAACTTCTGTACCCACATCTGACAAATCTTTTCTCAGTTCCTCAGCAGTCACACGGGGACTTCTCTCCACTCTACGCTTCAGGTAGCGCACAGCAGTCGAAGTCAGCATCTTCTTTCTGCCACGACCAGGTAGCGTTTCAACAGTGCCCTTTGCCTTGAATTTGCGAATGATGCTTCCTAAGGTGTCTCTTGGTATGTTTAACATCTTTGCAATCTTCTTATAGCCATTGCCCTTCCTGTGAAGAGAAATCACCTCTTCTCTTGTCTTCCTGGACCATTCTCTTGCCTTCACCATGTTTGTAACCACACCAGTAAATGTCTAGAAGGAGCTGAGTATCACAGTCATTTTAAAGCTGCCTAATTGGTGCTTATTATGCTTGATTGCTGCTCGGTGACATCCACAGGTGTTTTCAATACCTGATGGAAAGCACCTGTATGAACCTCTGTTCTTCAGAGTGGTAGTCTTTAAGGGGTTGAATAATTGTGGCAATGAAGAAACCACATAAGAACCATTTACTACTGTATTACATAAACAATTGATGTCATTTTAGTTGCATTTGGGTAGTTACAACGTCCTTGTAGGATTTGATTCTGAATACAATTCCAAATGTACACTATAGTCCCTAAACCCCTTTACAGCATTGGGGGTTGAATAATTTTGGTCACAACTGTATGTATATCGCAACTGCACCACATATGAGGTACTGCTGCAAATGGCAGAATGAGAGCAATAATTCTAGTATCATAGATCACAGTTACTGAAGTAAACTGATGAGCAGCATAGGCTTTTAAATCATGGAGATTTTTGGGTTTTTCGTGAAAGCACAGGTGCACGCAGTTTTAAGACTTGACATTTGTGGTATCTATTAAACTATGCATTTAATAAAAAAATTGCGTAAATATTGTGCAAAAAAAGTTGCAACTACTATCTTTTTATCCTACAAAGCCTCTGCTTTCAGAAAATATATAATATTCTGAAATATTTAAGTAATTTTTACACCAAAATGTTAATTTTCACATCTATGCAAAAAATTTAAATAACGTTCTACAGACGAGCTGTTCATATTACCCATAGATGATTAATTTTTTTGCATTCAGTCTTTGGGCTGCACCAAAAAAAAAAAAAAAAAAAAAAGCTTCTGATCAAAATATCTTTTCCCAACTTGTTCATTCAACAGATGTTGATCTAATGGTCAACTTCTGTACTTCTGTTGAACAGGGGTGGTTTCAAACTGGCCAAAATTCAGCCAGCTCTTCAGAGAATTTTATTCAATATATGGCTACCTTTGTTCTGACCTATCCTGTCACAGCAATGGTTTGTTGCCTTCCCTGGCCGTGGTCTGACCATGTTCTTGCTTTTTGACCAGCTGTTCTTCGGTTCCATGGCTGCTGTGTTGATGTTCTCAAAACTGTAATGCTGCCTTGGACCCTGTAACACACAACAAGCTTTTGCCCTTGCATCACCCATCATATCAGTCAGTGGTGCTGGGACTGAAGGTGTAAGAGAGGTTACGTTTGTTTTAACAGCATGTACCTGACATATGGAATCTTGAAAGTGTTGGGACTTGAGCATTAGGAAAAGGATTGTGACGTTGAAACTGAAGGAGATATTTACACAGTTTGTTAACTGTGCACTTCTGGTCTGCCAATTTTTTTAAATTCTTATATAGACCTAGCATCATCTATTAATTGAAGTTAGAACCTAGTTGGCGCTAGCTGCCTTTATTATGATGCTTCTTTGGTTCCGTTTACTGCTTTATCACCTACTTTGTCCAAGAGCAAGATCTGAAACTATGAAATGTCTTCAGCAGCATGTTATTTTATTGCATGTCAAGGTTCCAGCATTTCTACCAACAACCTTTTCAACAGAATTTTAGTTTTGTGCTGATCATAACATAAAAGAAAAAAAAGGACTATAATCTTGCCTTTGAAACGAACCAGCAGAC